GAGCTTTCAGGGAGGAAATGGTTCTGCATAGAAGATGGAAAATATACACTTTGCTTATTAGTAAAGAAATAGATCAGAAAGCAAATAGGCATTTAAAATGCTGTTTCTGTTTATGCTCACTGCCTTTCCCCATCACTCTATAATTAACTTACTCCAAATGTCTTATTAAATGCTTACTGTGGGTACAGCACTTTATACATAGGATTTAATAAAATGGAAAGAAGAGTTCCCAGAGAGCCTCTAATCAAGTAAGAGAGACTTAAAAAAACAAATGGAATGTAGAGAGCTCTTTGTAAGTACATTTTAGAAAGAGATACAAAAATACAAGAAGTGTTTAAAGAGGAAGGATACTTGAAATGGACATGTTTTAGAAGGCATGTGTCAGCTGTTTAGATAATCAATCCAGGAAGGGTGTGTCAAATTCCATGACAAAAGTTTGACTTGTGATAAACTTGTGCAGTACTTGAGATGTAGGGAGTGCATTAACTATATGCACTGTCATGATTCGGACGTTCGAAGCCTGAATTGGATTCAGTCGTGCCAAGAGCTCAAGCAAAGTTATGATTAATTTCCTCAGTGATGCTAATCATTTCAGGATTTGTAGTGCTTGATTTAATTTTAAGCTTTAGTCCTGCAGCTGACTCGTACTCCAGGATGAGCAGATTTTAAGTTTGTAGACTCTGTCCTAAAGCAGGCTGCTCCATGTGTAGTCAGTGAGGGTAGCTGTTGTCATTCTGAGCCGAGGAAGGGCAGGCTTCCATTTCTCACTCCCTTTGGAAAACTGTTGCTGCAATGGAGAAATGTCTTTTTAAAGAATAGAGTTCCTCAAAACTGGGAGAATCAATAGAATTGCAAAGAGGATTATTACCTGGATTATTTACAGCAAAACAAGTGGGGAAATGTTAGCATGGGAGAGAGAATTCCCCCCCCTTGTATTTTTTACTCTTCCCAGGGTGACCGTGTGTATGTCAGATAGAAGAGGGACTAACCGTGTTCCCTTCTCTGTTCTTTGTGCCTGTTTTTTGTTTGTTTTATGTTTTATTTTCTTAAAGTTACAGTCCCTGTTTCAGGCATGATCACCATCCCAGCAGCCAGTTTGGCAGGAGCACAGATTGTTCAGACAGGAGCCAATACCAACACAACCAGCAGTGGGCAAGGGACTGTCACTGTTACCCTGCCAGTGGCCGGCAACGTGGTCAACTCGGGAGGGATGGTCATGGTAAGAGCACTGGTTCCCCAGCTGACTGTTCTCATGCGATGAAATTTCCCACATGCCTTTAAAGATTTTGTGAACTTATAATTTGACATCTCTCATAAAACCTATTTATAATGTTGGCTTCTTATTAGAAGTGAGATTAATCTTTAAGACACTTACTCGGATCTGCTTTTACCGCAACATCACAATAAGCCATGATTCATTCTAAGAGTATGTTGGTGCACAGGATTTAAAATGAATGAATTGAGAAAGAGTGATAGAATTCTGTGCAAAGCTGGAAGAAGCTACTAGAAGAATCTGTACCATTGTAAGTGCTGGTTGTGATTGGAAAGTGAGTGGCAAACAGGAGCTTGTTAACTTGTTTATGTGTAGTACAGTGGTGTGTGTGCTTGTGTTTTGTTTTTTAAGAAAAAGAAAACAATTGAATAGTAAGCTAGTTATTTAATTAAGTTGAATTAATTGACTATATCTTTACATTTAATAATGCTTGGTCAGTCTGTGCCCACCTTGCTTTGGTGTTTCATTGTTTTGGCACCACTGTTCTAACCATTATATAGCAGCAAACATGTCTAGGAAATTGAGCCATGGATGGGTGTGAATTTAGGCATGGTTACATCACTTCTCAGTGGTTCAGAGCCCCTGTGTAGAATCATCTGCGATGTTTTTATAATGTATTGCAGACCTTTCATGTAAATGCTTGCCAAGAATCTGCCAGAACCCTATAAAAGTTACTTTTTTTTTTCTTTTAAAGATTTATTTATTTTTGGGCCCAGCGCCGCGGCCTAGCGGCTAAAGTCCTTGCCTTGAACGTACTGGGATCCTATCTGGGCGCCGGTTCTAGTCCTAGTAGCCCCGCTTCCTATCCAACTCCCTGTTTGTGGCCTGGGAAAGCGGCCGAGGATGGCCCAAGGCCTTGGGTTCCTGCACCCACGTGGGAGACCCGGGGCAAGTTCCTGGCTCCTGGCTTCAGATCAGCACAACAACAGCAGCTGTTGCGTTCACTTGGGGAGTGATTCACTGGAAGGAAATCTTCCTCTCTATCTCTCCTCCTCTCTGTATATATTTGACTTTGCAATAAAAATAAATGAATCTTTAAAAAAGATTAAATTAAAAAATCTTTTAAAAATACATTTATTTTTATTTATTTATATAAAGATAAATAAAGCTTAAAAAGATTACATTAAAATCTTTTTTTTTTTTAAGATTTATTTATTTATTGGAAAGTCAGATATACAGAGAGGAGGAGAGACAGAGAGGAAGATTCTCCGCCCGATGAGTCACCCCAAGTGACCACAATGGCCAATGCTATGCCGATCCGAAGCCAGGATCAAGGAACTTGTTCCGGGTATCCCACACGGGTGCAGGGTCGCAAGGCTTTGGGCCGTCCTCGGCCACTTTCCCAGGCCACAAGCAGGGAGCTGGATGGGACGTGGGGCCGCCAGGATTAGAACCGGCACCCATATGGGGATCCTGGTGCTTTGAAGACAAGGACTTCAGCTGCTAGGCCATCACACTGGGCCCGAATGTTAGTTTTGAGACGTTCAGAAGAAGAGAGATTAATAGGGACCAAGAGACTGTTAGCTGGGTCCACACATCAGGCCATTGATAACCCCTGGTTTCCTGTTAACACAGATGGTGCCTGGAGCTGGTTCTGTGCCTGCCATCCAAAGAATCCCTCTGCCCGGTGCGGAAATGCTTGAGGAAGAGCCTCTCTATGTGAATGCCAAACAGTATCACCGTATTCTTAAGAGGAGGCAAGCCCGAGCTAAGCTAGAGGCAGAAGGAAAGATTCCAAAGGAAAGGAGGGTGCGTATCACACAGACAAGGATATGGAAGGACAACCACATTGTTCCACTTCGGAAATTGCCTTTGATTTCATATGCTTCTTTGAGTGCCTTCCAGACAGACTGATATTAGATAAAGTTAGCATTTGTTATTGTTGTATATAGCTTCAACTACAATTGTGACAGCAAGTGAGTAGCTTCAACAGAATTTGAATTTTTTGTTGTATAAAAGCAGTCCAGCAATAATTGTCCTGAAGTGGGAGCACTTTCCACCTAGTTCCCAAGACTTGACTTTTCTTGTCTTTCTGCTTCAATATTATTAGTGAGCTCACAATCAATGGTGGCTCTTTGCAACCCAAAGAGCTTAAACAAGGAAACAAAAATGGCATCTGGTCTTGAAACGTTTCCTACACTTCTCTTAAACCAGTGGTCTACTAGGAAGATAGGAAATGCAGTCTTCAGTGAGCACCCATTTGCCTTACTAAAATGTGATATCTTATAAAACAGAAGGGGAAAGATGTATGATCGTGATCTCTGCTATACTTTGCAGTTTTTTTTTTTTTAATTCACTTGAATTTGACAATCTTATGTTAGCTACATATACTAACTGCTCTCTTACTGACTTTGCAGTTCCCTCCAGCACGTTTTTGCCTAATTCAGAATCCTAATTCTGCCTTATGGCTTTGACCACAGCCATCCTAAATTTTCAAGTCTGGGATTTGTACACTAGGTAACCATTCTCTTTCTACTTAATAGTTAAACTTTATTTCTGCTGTTTTAGAAATACCTGCATGAGTCTCGGCACCGTCACGCTATGGCTCGGAAACGGGGTGAGGGTGGACGATTTTTCTCTCCAAAGGAAAAGGATAGTCCTCATATGCAAGTAAGAATATGTATATACTTTTCATTCTTTGTTGCTTTATGTTTTCTTGAAGTGTTCAGGTTTTTCCTCATGTTTTGACACTCAAGAAACTAATATTCTCTAAAGTGGATGCAACCTGGGTCTGTTAGATTCACTTTAATCTTTTTTTTTTTTTTTTTAAGATTTATATTTATTGTTATTGGAAAGGCAGATATACAGAGAAGAGGAGAGACAAGAACTTTCGTCCTATGGTTTACTCCCCAATTGGCCACAATGACTGGAGCTGAGTCCATCTGAAGCCAGGAGACTACTCCTCCAGGTCTCCCATGCAAGTGCAGGGTCCCACGGCTTTGGGCCGTCCTCGACTGCTTTCCCAGGCCAATAGTAGGGAGCTGGATGGGAAGCGGGGCTGCTGAGATTAGAACAGTGCCCATATGAGATCCCAGCATGTTCAAGGCGAGGACTTTAGCCTCTAGGCCACCATGTCTGGCCCTGATTATTTTTAATATTAAAAACCCAAAAAAGTCTTTGCTCCAGTGGCCTTTCTTCCCCCTTATCTTTCCTAGTTATTATTAGTAATATATAGATTTTTTTGATTCTCACTTGTCTTAAGAGCCAAGGAACAAGTTTTATTGTATTTTATTGTAATTACACTACTAGTAGCAAACATTGATCATTATATGACAGGTACAATGTTAAGGATTTTGGTATCTACTGCTTCACTCCCCACATGCCTTCCCAGCTTCGGCTGTACCAAGGCCAGAGCCAGATCGCCCATGTAGATGGCAGAAAACCCCATTCCTGAGTCATTACTGCCTCCTCCCAAGACCGTGGGACACTGAAGGCTGGCTCCGCAGGGATAACTCTTTAAGTTAATCTTTATAGCAGGAACCTTAGCCCCATGATGAGAATTATTCTCTTCATTTTACAATTCAATCTGAAGTTTAGGGAGGTTAGTTAAGTAATTTCCCTAAGGTAAAATACTAAGATGGAACAACTGAAATGCAAACCCAGGTCATGTAATTCCGGAGTTTACTCTTTTAATTACCTCACCAGCTCATATGCCAAAAACTATTCCCATTCTACAGGGATACTTCAAAACATTTGTGAGGAAATGTAGTTTAAAAATAAACTATGAGTGCTTGCCTCGGTAGCACATATACTAAAATTGGAATGATACAGAGAAGATTAGCATGGTCCCAGCACAAGGAGGTTCATTCTTTCCATGAGCTTTTTGAAGAACTGCCCCCATATTTGCTAGAAATATGGCATTAGTCAAGTTAGCCTCTTATCCCTTTCTTGAAAAAGTGGAGTACTGTTGAACACATTCCAGGAATATTGGAGAAATCTCATCTATCTGAAAATCAGTTACCCAGAGAAATCTTCCATCTGCTGATTGACTCCCCAAATGGCCAAAGCAGCCAGGCTGAAGCCAGGAATTTCTTTTGTGTCTTTCACATATGTGGCAGGGACCCAAGCCATCCTCCACTGTTCTTCCAGGCAGTTAGCAATGAGCTGATTAAGAAGTGGGATAGCCAAGACATGAATTGGCACTCATATGGGATGTTGGCATTGCAAGTTGCAGCTTACTTTCTATGCCATAACATCAGCCCCTACACTGCAGATCTTAAGGGCAAAAGCACCATAGGGTTTACTGGAAAGAAAATTAAATGGTAGCCAGGTGACTGGGAATTACCCAGTGCTGGGTTCCTGACTCATTTTCTGACTTAATTCAGGCAAACCACTTGGCTTGTCCCAGCTTCAGATTTGTTTTTTGTTTTTTGGGTTTTTTTTTTTTTATGTGTGTGTGTGTGTGTGTGTGTGTGTGTGTGTGTGTGTGTGTGTATAAAGATTTATTTATTTTTATTACAAAGTCATATATACAGAGAGGAGGAGAGACAGAGAGGAAGATCTTCCATCCGATGATTCACTCCCCAAGTGAGCACAACGGCCAGTGCTGTGCCAGTCTGAAACCGGGAACCAGGAACCTCTTCCAGGTATCCCACACGGGTGCAGGGTCCCAAAGTCTTGGGCCTTCCTCGACTGCTTTTCCAGGCCACAAGCAGGGAGCTGGATAGGAAGTGGGGCTGCCATGATTAGAACCGGCGCCCATATGGCATCCTGGCGTGTTCAAGGCGAGGTCCTTAGCCACTAGGCCATGCCACTGAGCTCCCAGCTTTATCTATGTGTGTGATGTATGGAATCTGATGTATAGAATCTGATCTTTTTCCTGCCTCCTAGGTACTCAGAATTTAAATGTGACTATCAGGAAATAATGGCCCCCAAATACCTCAGGACATAGTTCCTCTGTATCTGTTTCTTAGCTGCCAGAATACCCTTCACCCTTAAGGATACAGCACATTCCAAGGTGCTTAGAAAAGAGGTACACTATCAACTCTGGAGTATTTGGTGATGGAGGCCCAGGTAGATAAGGTTGGGGGAGGGTTAAGCTGCTGTTGGGATGTCCACATCCATTTTCTAAATTGCTTCTGATGCACCCTGAGGGGATAACAGAAGATGTGTCAAATACTTGAGTCCCTGCCACCCCCATTGGAGACGCAGATGGAGTTTCTGGCTCCTGGCCTCAGCCTTGCCCAGCCATGGCATTTGGAGAAGTCTGTCTCTTTCTGTTTCTCTACATTTCAGATTAATTCATTAGTTAATTAAGAGAAGAATGTCACTTCATTGCTAATGGGGTTGCGATGGTAGGTGTTTGAGGTTTAGAGCCAGGAATTGCTTTTGCAAAGGACTTTGATCATTATCATGCTGTCTTTGCCTCTAGGATCCAAACCAAGCTGATGAGGAAGCAATGACACAGATCATCCGAGTGTCCTAACCCCAGACCACGTGACAGAGCTGATCACAGTCGGGTTCCTCACCGCTGTTCCAGGAAATTGATCAACTCTTCCAGTGGGACACTGATGATTGATGATGACATTCTGCCCTTTTCTACAGGACAGAAACCACTTAGTTTTTTAATAAGTGGCTCAGTATTATATTTGCAGCAGTGGTGTCTGGCAAATTGAAGTTGCAAGCCTTTTGTCCACCCTTCCAGTCAAGACCTATCTCAGATCATCGATAACATTGACATTACATGGATTAAAAGGATGCAAGGAGACACATGCCAGCCCAGCAGTACACAAAGCACTTACGTTAACTGGTGAAGCCAGCCCGCCATCTCCACAAGGGAGAATAACCTTCTCGACCTAGACTGCACTCAGGGAGGGGCAGTGCACAGCTTTCCATGGAATCTGGACAGCATCCATATCCCTGCTGGGGAAACGCAGGCTGACTCACTGAATAGACTCTTTGTATTCAGAGATGGCTTCCAGGCGAGGAAGTTCTTTCCATCTTGTGATATGGAAACAATAAATTCCCTGACACACGTTCATCTGATCTGTGGTAATAATAAGAATCTGTCTGTACAGATGGCAGGTTGATATTTTTGGACTCCAGCCAAAAAATGGCTTAATTCTGGGAATAAAGGAATAGAAGACTCAAGCACTAACAATACACATTGTTGAATCTCTTTGTAGCTTTGACAAGTTTTGGGATGCTTGTCCCTCTGTTGACAGGTCATCTGGACCATAGTTCCTGCTGTGGCTGCTTTTAAGACAAATTCAAGGGTATCAAGCCTTAAAACTGCCTTTACTAAGTAAAGAACAAAGCTCTTCAACACCGTCTGTGCTGAGGCACTGAGGACACTGGCAGTGATTCCTAAGTGGGGAGCCAGGCCAGGGACTGGGGAGTTTGGAGATTCGTGTGTGTTTGGAAGGAGACAGGCAACCGGTAGTAGCTATCCCATGTTTTGTTTCAGAGTGCGAATTTCCAGGGGCTGGATACCTGGAGTCAATCCTTCAGATGAAGAGACTAAATCACATTTACACTAAGGAAGAAGTCTGAGATTTGGCCTTGGACAATTTCTGGAAAGCAGTGTTTAGTCACAAGAACTGGTTACTTGATAGATCATGAGGTAGATGTTAGCTTCATTCGTGCTGGCCTCAGAGAGCAAACATTGTCCCCCTTCCCATAGTAGTAATTCTCTGGAGCCAGTTTCCATTTCTTTTCCCACAGGGGTTGGGCACAGAGGTTTTCCCATTGCATGCATGTTGTGGGAATAACTTGCAGACCGGAAACAGAACGCCTGCGGATTCAGGAACTGGTCCGCAGCTCTCAGAGTGGGTGGTGCTTCAGCAGTCCATCTGTTTCTCCTAGATGTTGAAGTCAAAGAGAACTATGCTAAGGTGTTTCAGAAGAGTGAAAAGAAAGAAACAAACATCACAAAGGGAGATGATGGTGATGGCCAAACTAGATGTACAGAACTATGCAAAATTGTCTAGGAGCGGAATGGCTTCCTCAAGCCAGGAATTGATCCTGTGTCTGGGCTTCCAGCAGCCAGAGAGGCTGACCCCTTTTGGTAATGTCACTAGGACCTCCTGGCTCTTCACATGAGTTTCAGATACCTTCATTCATTCAGTCCCATGAAACAGTTTTCTATCCCTTTGGTGTTTATAAGTCTAAGGGGCAAAATTCAGCAAGAAATTTCTCAGACCTGATTTATAGTGCTTAAGCCAACAGCAACTCTAAAATGCTATTTATTTGTGTTTGTAAGTTTGTACATAATACAAACCTCAAATTGTTGCTCAGCTTTTTTTTTTAATTGGGGGTGTGGGTCAATTTGAATTTTGTTTGAAGTGTCATTTGTTTATTGTAGTCAATGGAACATGTTCATAGCACACCTGTAGAGCCAAAGGGGCTCATGTTTGGATTCCTTGTTACTAGTTCTTTTTCTCATTTGTCCTTGGAACTGTAGTGATGACATCACAGATGGCAGGTGATTGGATGAATGATTGGCTTCCTGCATTGTCGTGTCACTTTTTGAGTGCTCTCTTTGCAGGATAACTGTGTGTTTTTAATCACACTGGTACATTAACCATATCAGTGACTGTACCACTGAACCAATAGCGTTTTCCTGCTACAGGGTGCCTGATGATAATGTCTTCGTTTTCCTTTGGGACATACCTATCTAGGTTCCCCTCCTCACCCCGCTCAGCCTCAGGGGGAATACTGGGGATTGGATATTAATGTCATTGCAATTGTTATTTTTAAAAATAAATTTGTAAAAAAAAAAAAAAAACAAAACTGACTTGGCTTTGGAGAAGGCTGCAGCCCCTCGACTCTAAGCTTTGCTGACAGTGAAGTGTGCGTTGGACAGCATCCGGCTGCAGTGTGCAGACAAACCTCTCGGCTTCAGCTTCCCTTCAGGTCTCTCCTGAGGATCTCCCATCACGTTTGGGCTGAGCACTTTTTACTCGTAATTCTAGGAGTAAAATTGGCCCTTTCCTGATCACACACACACACAAATGGCCTTGACTCAGTGTTTTAGTGAAAATAGTCCTTTTGCAAAATTTTAAATTCAGACAACAGAACAAAAACATTGCTGGCTGATGACCGTGCTTATAGCCTAGGAAACGAGATGAAGTTATCCTGTATTGGCAGATGAGTAGAGAGAAAGTTGCTAAAAATCAACGGGACTAGAGTTTTGGATAAGCTTGTTCGTCCTGCCTTAAAAAAAAATCCCGAACTTAATTGTTAGATTTATGCCGGGTATACTTGCTCTTAAGTCCAGACATAACCCGTTTTGGAGGGAAAGACTATCCCGAATGGCCCGCTTTATTTACGTTCAGGAGGATTAGAACGGACAGGCTGGGGGGCGGGATTCCCAGCCTATACGAAATTGTACCACATAATTCAAAATAAATATATTAAAATTAAAAACCTAACAGGCTGTTCTCGCCCGCCCGGCGTCCCGCCCCTTACCCGGAAACCCAGAGCGTGAAAGGGCGTGTCGCCCCGGCCGCACTCCTTTGGGAGTGCTTCAAGGAAGTCTGTGCGGATTGGCTGGCGGGAGGACGCCGCTAGTGCCGCCGGTGCGGATTGGCTGCCGTGCGAAGCGCCTGGGCTTCCGGTGGCTCCGTGGGCAGTGCGGCCGCCGCCGCCATGACCACCGGCGGGCGGGAGGTGGCGCCGCCTCTGTGGCCTGTGGAGGCCCGCTTGGCGGCGCTGCTTCCCGACCTGGTGGTGTTCAGGAAGCCGTGGGGATCGAAACCCGAGCTCGCCACTGCGCAGGGTGTCCTCCTCGGCGTCCACGTGACGGGTGAGGCCCCAGGGAGGAGCCTCCGTCCCCGGGGGCGGTTGGGCCGCAGCTGCCTGAGGCCGCGACGGTTCCCCGGCGGGGTACGGCTCCGGGCGCGTGCCGTAGCGGAGACACCTGCTGAGCTGCACCGGCCGCGGACCCCTGAGCGCATCTGGACTTGATGAAATGGAAATTCCCGAGGAGGGAAACGAGTCTTTTCCTGACACCACGCGGCGGGCTTCAAGCCCGGGTGTGAGCGGTTTCCAGTCCTGGTTCCGCCTCTTCGTGGGAGTTAATGCATCCTTTTAAGTCATTGTTTGAGTCCGAACGTTTGTGCCCATGGTTGGCGTTAGCAACCTAGCAGCCACGTACAGACATTCGTTTACTATTTGTGTAGTTTGTTCTCCAAGTGTCATGGATAGGAACATGGGTAACCCCTTAATCTAGAATTCCTTCCCCCATCCATGTTTTTCTCTAACCCTGTTGGAGCAAATCCTGTAATTTAGCGGGTCGGAGGAATGGGGAAGCAGGCTTTCTTTAAAAGGGGATTCTCTTCGCCGTCCGCATCCCCGGGAGGCAGAGGGTGGCTCCAGACACGTTAGCAGAAGCCCCAGCCCCTAGTAGGTAATGGCCACTCTGTGCATAAAGGAATTGATCGGAAAGGATGTGTTTTTCATGCTGACGGATGGGGCTGGCATTCGGGATTTGCAGCTCTAATGATAACCTTTGCTCTGTCGGTCAGGGTTTACAGCTTTGATGGACAGGCTAAGCCTCACCTGCCAGTTGGAGCATGACATAGACAAACTGGCCCACATCTTCAGTTACTACATTAGTGACATCGTGGAGCGTGAGTGACCACAGCAAGGGGAGCAAGGAGGTGCTGGGCTCCTGGTGGTTGGTACAATAAGAAGACCCGGGGGGTGGGGGGCTTGAAAGTGTGTACTCAGGAGTTAGCTAGAGCCTTAAGGGCCTTTAGTTGCCCAAGATGGCAAGCTCCATTTCAGCTTGTGTCTGCCTTTCCCTGCCCCACACCCTTCGGTCTCACATCCTGCTGCCTGAGAAGGCAGAGAAAACCTAGATTTCGTTATCAGGTTTGTAGTTTCTTTAAAAATACAATGTTCCCCAAGTGGTGTCTTCAAACAGTAATATGCATAACATGTATATATAATCGATACCACAGGGCTTTCCATTTTGTTACTGCAGTTTGACTCTGTGTTCCTGGATTTAGTCCTTCTAGGACTAGAATGTGTGTGTATTATATTTATATGCACATATATAATATAATAAATAATTTGCATATTTATCTAAGGAGGCAAAATCGTCTTTGTGTGCTCTATTAGTGTGTTTTGAGTGCCTGCACTGTACATGCTCTGTGTAGGGACAGGGAGGCAGAAACCCACACAGGAGCCTTTTAGTTTGGCTTGACCAGCATGGCATTTAATCAGCACTCAGCATTCTTTTTTTTTTTTTACTGATCAGGTCCATACAAATATGTTTACCATTCAAAGAATCATTGCTTTGGTGGCATCTCCCCTCTTTAACCCTGCAGAACAAGCATAGGCGATTCCCTTTGTCATCAGATTTGGGTGACACCACAGTTACGAAATGTATATTGTGCATATCTTATAATATGGAACTAGAAACACAGGGGCATTGTCAGACTCACCACCTGTCTTTGAAGTGTTTATGTTTTAATGGGAAAGACAGATAAAATCAGTATAGCTTATACATTCTCTTAAACTGCAAGGTATTTTTTAAGATCATAATAGGGTGAGGGTTTTCTATGTGAGACAGTAGTCATAGGATGCTCCTCAGAAGAGGTGATACTTAAACAGAGGTGCAGGGGATGAGGGTTGCGCCTTAGGAAGAGCATGTGAAGAAGACTAGATGCGCCAGTTCTGAGACTGGAGAAGGCTTGCCTGTTCTAAGAGCTGAGGGAGGACCAGTGTGGCCCGAGTGCAGCCAGCAGGAAGGTAAGGTTGGAAGAAAGCAGCTGCTGTCAGACCATCAAGCTCTGAAGCCTATAGCATGGAGTTTGAAGGATACATTTTGACCCAAAGGGAAGCTATGGGGAGGTCCTGGCAGGGAAGGAACAGGCTATGGTGTGTGTGTATTGAAGCTTGCTTTGGCTGTCTTGCGGAGGTTGGGTTATAGGGAGCTGGTGGAGAGTGACTGTTAAAGGATGGAAACGAAAAGGCATTGGAACCTGCTCGCGAGGTGATGGTAATGGGGTCTAGGGGAGTAGTTCTCAACCTCAACTACACATGCAGTAACCATCTGCAGAGCTTATTCTTGTTGCCTAGGCTTCACGCCAAATCAATTAAAGCAGAATCTCTTGGAATGTGTCCAGAAGTAGTATTTTCTTTAAGATTCACTAGCAGTTCCACTGTGCAGTTAAGACTGAAGACTATTGGCCTGGATACAGCAGCGGTACTCTGTGGGGATGGAATAACTTGCAAGAATGTTTTTTGCAGATTGAACCGATATGAGTTACTGATGGGTTGAATTTCAGTGGGAAGTGGTGAGAAAGGGGATTTGTAGTTTTGGCTTTCATAAGTGAATGAATGATGGTGTCACCTGCCAAGATCAAGAAGATTGAGCTTTGAGGAAAAAAATAATAAATCGAGGTTACAGTTCTAAATGTATTCAGTTTGGGATGCCAGCAAGTCATTCAAGTGGGGAAGACAAGTTAGTTGCTGTAATTAAGACTGGAGCTCAAAGAACAGATCTCTGTTAGAGCTGAAAATGTGAGTTGACAGCATAAAAATGGCACTTAAAATTTGATTGAGTTTCTGTGGAAAGAAAATTAATAAAGCAAGAGAACCTTAGGCTGTAGCTTGAGGTTCTCCAGGGGAAGATTGTTTCTAGGGATGGAAAACTGGGAAAAGGGAACTGCAAAGCAGCCAATCAAGTAAGATTTTTTTTTTTTTTTTTTAGGATTTGTTTATTTTTACTAGAAAGACAGATTTTACAGAGAGGAGAGAAGAACTCTGTTCTATTCACTAGTTCACTCCCCAGATGACCGCAGCAGCCTGAGTTGCGCCAATCTGAAACCAGGAGCTTCTTCCTGGTCTCCTACATAGGGAAAGGAGCCCAAGGCTTATCAGCATCCTCCACTGCTTGCCAAGGCATAAGCAGGGAGCTGAATGGAACACAAATTGGCATCCATATGGGTGGAGATGGAGAATTGACCTGTTGAGCCAATTCCCAGGGCCCAATATTGTTTGTTTGTTGGTTTGTTTGTTTTAAGATCTTTTTATTTTTATTAGAAAGTCAGATACATAGGAAGGAGAGACAGAGGGAAGATCTTCCATCCGATAATTCATTCCCCAAACAGCTGCAATGGCCAGAACTGAGCCTATCTGAAGCCAAGAGCCTCTGCTGGGTCCCCCATGTGGGTGCAGGGTCCCGAGGCTTTGGGCTGTCCTCAATTTTCCCAGGCCACAAGCAGGGAGCTGGATGGGAAGTGGGGCCGCCAGGACACAAGCTGCAGCCATATGGGTTCCCGGGTGTATGTAAGCAAGGACTTTAGCCGCTAGGTTACCACACTGCCCTTCCCCCAGTATTTTCTTAAAGACAAAAGGAAAGTAGTATTTTTAGAGGAAGGCTGCAGCTAGCTAGGTTGAAAATAGTAGCTGTCAAGTACATTATGTTCAGAAAAAATGCTGAATTTAGCATGATGAACACCGTAGAAATGACCCTGATAGTTTTAGTGAATTTGGTTGAGAATAAAGGTCAGATGGCAGTGGACTAAAAAGACTGTAGAAAAAAATATATTTTTAAAAAGATTTACTTATTTGCAAGTCAGATGTACAGAAAGAGGGATGGATAGATAGATGTTCCACCTGCTGGTTCACTCTGCAGATGGCTGTAATGGTCAGGGCTGGTCCAGGCCAAGCCAGGAGCCAGGAGCTGCAGCTGTTATCTCATGGATGCAGGGCCATGTCTGCTGCCTTCCCAGGCATGCTTTAGCAGGGAGCTGCATCTGAAGTGGAGCAGCTGGGTTTTCAGTCAGATTAACTGGCATTGCAGGCGGTAGTTTAAGCTGGCCTTGAGAAAACAATTTTTAAGGAATGAATGGGACCCGGTGCAGTGGCCTAGCAGCTAAAGTCCTCGCCAGAACACACCAGGATCCCATATGGGCTCCAGTTCTAATCCCGGCAGCTCCACTTCCCATCCAGCTCCCTGCTGGTGGCCTGGGAAAGCAGTCAGGACAGCCCAAAGCCTTGGGATCCTGCACCCACATGGGAGACCTGGAGGATGTTCTTGGCTCCTGGCTTCGGACTAGCACAGCACCGGCCATTGCAGTCACATCAGATGGAAGATCTTCCTCTCTGTCTCTTCTCTCTGTAAATCTGACTCTGTAATAAAAATAAATAAATTTTTAAAAAATGAATGGAAGATGATGAGAAAAGTATATTTAACCAATTATGTTGAGGATTTCTTTTGCTTATGTTTTGCTATGGAGGTAGTAGAAAAATGGAACTAATCAGAAAGTAAAACCAAGCCTAGGCTTTTTAAATTTTGATTTTTCTTTTTCAGCATATTGACAGGAATCATTAGTACACTGAAGATTAAGGTGATGGTAAAGTCCTTGAGAAAGTGATAAAGGGAGCAGACACCTAGTACCAGTGATAGGGAGTCTGTCAAGGCAGCAGAAGCACCTCCATGTGAGAGATGTCATAGGTCCAGGTGGATCTGGGGAGGAGGAAGGAGCCTGAGGCATGGAATGACCAAACTGATCTGATTTTTACTTTGTTCTCTCTTCTTTACTTGATTTCAGATGTACTCTGTTTCGGAGGGGATATCCTAAATATCACAGGTATTTTCAGTTTTCTGAGTACTTAAGGGACTGTGAATAGGGAGACTGTACTTAGGTAGGATTTGCCATCTTTGTTTATCATGTCTTGATTATTTAATAGGTGCTGGGCCCCATGGGTACCAAGGTGAGGGAGACCCAATGTCGGCCTCAGAGGATCTCCCAATGTAATTGGGAATTTTTGCCCATATTAAACTCTTGTGTGCTTTAAATTTCATTTAAATCAAATGCCAAGAAAATAAGTAGCTATAAATTATATTTTATAATTTTTATAATTATGTTTTATTTTAAAAAAGGGCAGAGTTAACAGAAAGAAGGGGAGACAGAGATCTTCCGTCTTCTGATTCACTCCTCAAATGGCTGCAGTGGCTAGAACTGGACCAGTAAGCAGCCACGAGCTGCTTCTCTGTCTCCCACGTGGGTGAAGGGCCCAGGCACTTGAGCCATTCTCCACTGCGTTCCAGTTCATTAGCAGGGAGCTGAATTGAAAGTGCAACAGCCAGAACTTGACCCAATCTTCATGTGGGATGCTTGTGCTATAGACGAGATTTAACTTGCTGCACCATAACACTGACCCCTCTTCTTTTGCTTTTTTATAAATTATGCTTGAGCAGATTGATGAGAAACCAAGTCATTAATAGCAACAGGTAGACAACGTAAGAGAAAAATATTTTTCTATCTGGAAAGATCTTAGGATCGTTAACAACTATATGGCCTAGTATTGACCCACCTTCTCATCTAAAATTTTTTTTAAAGATTTATTTTTATTATTTTTTTATTGGAAAGGCGGATATACAGAGAGGAGAGACAGAGAGGAAGATCTTCTGTCCGATGATTCACTCCCCAAGTGAGCGCAATGGCTGATGCTATGCCGATCCAAAACCAGGAGACTCTTTCGGGTTTCCCACACGGGTACAGGGTCCCAAAGCTTTGGGCCGTCCTCGACTGCTTTCCCGGGCCACAGGCAGGGAGCTGGAAGGGAAGCAGGGCTGCCGGGATTAGAACCGGCGCCCATATGGGATCCCGGGCGTGCAAGGTGAGGACTTAACCACTTGCGCCACCACGCTGGGCCCTAAAATTTTTTTTAAAAATTTATTTTATTTTATTTACAAAGTGAGATATGTGAGAGGAGGAGAGACAGAGAGGAAGATCTTCTGTCCGATGATTCACTCCCCAAATGTCCACAACAGCCAGGGCTGCGCTGATCTGAAGCTAGGAACCAGGAACCTCTCCTGAGTTTCCCACCTGGGTGCAGGATCCCAAAGTTTTGGGCCTTCCTCGACTGCTTTCCCAGGCCACCAGCAGGGAGCTGGATGGGAAGTGGAGCTGTCGGGATTAGAACTGGAGCCCATATGGGATCCTGGTGTGTTCTGGCGAGGACTTTAGCTGCTAGGCCACGGCACCGGGCCCCTCATCTAAATTTCATAAAATCAGCCGTAAAATTAGATTTGAACTTGAACCTGTATTTTTTAACCTCTTTGGTAGTACCTATCCCCCTCTGCTAGTATATTGAGTCTTGTTCATTATTGGGAGTTTTGCCTTTGATCAGCTGACTCTAGATATTTCACCCCTGTCACTCTGTCCTGCAGGAAATGTGCTCCTGGCACTCTGGACGGTAAAACAGAATCAACTGAGTGACATCATTACCCTGGTGGCAAAGTGCAGTCTGGAGATACAAGAGAAATTTGGGATCTACCATACCAGAGAAGGCCAGGACCTGCAGCTAAAAATAGGTAGTAGCTCCTAAAAGAGTGATTTAATTAGAGAGGAAAAAATGCCTGTAAGATTTAAAAATATAAATGACAAACCAAGGAAAAATACACTTCATACAGACAAATGGTGAATTCCTCTACTATATTAACAGAGCCAAGAAATCAGGAAAAGACTAACATTCTGTGAAAAATTGGTGAAGGGTATAAGTAAATGGTAAGTGGACAAAGCAATACATACATTTTGGCATATATTTCAGCCAGAGCTGTGCCAATCTGAAGCCAGGAGCCAGGAGCTTCTTCCCAGTCTCCCACAGGGATGCAGGGTCCTATTTGGGCTGTCCTCTACTGCTTTCTCAGGCCACAAGCAGGGAACTGGAAGGGAAGTGGAGCAGCCAGGATTAGAACTGGAACCCATATGGGATTCCAGGCATGCAAGGTGAGGATTTAGCCACTAAGCTATTACCATGCCTGGCCTACAGTGGAAGATGTTTTATGTATGTTATTTATGTATTTTAGGGTTTTTCTATTTATTTATGAATGGCAGAGTGACAGATCTTGCTTTCTGGTTAATTTCTCAAATGCCTGGCACATCCCGGACTGGGCCAGGTTGAAGCCTGGAGCTCTGTCTGTGTCTCCCCCTATGGGTGATGGGGGTGGGAGTACTTGGACCATTACATGCTGCCCCTGTAGGTGTGCTTTAACGTGAAGCTAAAAGTGCAAGAGGACCCAGGACTTGAACCCCTGCACTCCAGTTTGGGGTTTAGTTATTTCAGACAGGGTCTTCACCCACAATGTCACAACACCAAACCCCTGTGTTTACATTTTGAAATATGTTATTCTGTAACATAATCAGAAATACAATCCAGTATAATAAAATTAAAAAGCTGCTCCCAGAGGCCAGTTTCACCAGTGACAAAATCAAGACTAGAGAAGCTCAAGAGAAAAGACTTCTTTACAGGAGTCAAAAGCAGCAGTGAACAATGGTATTATATGGCATCTGTGCTCTCCTGTTGGTGTGTGTGGAGGGAGAATTCTGCCTCTTTTTTCTTTTGTTTTTGGTTTATTGAGGAGTGATTGATACTGTACATAGAAGTATTTGCATGTTTTTGAAACTCATCACGATAAAGCTAAAGAACACATCAGGCACAAGAGTTTTCTTATTTATATTCGTTTGTACATCCTTTCTGCCTCCAATCACCTCTCCTATTCCCAAGCAACCACCAATTTTCTTTCTGTTTAGAGAAGTTATACTGAAATTTTTTAAAAGAATGTTACATAAGTAGAATCATCCAGTTGTATTTTTTGGCTAATTTTACTATAAGTTCTTTGGGATTCACCAATTTGTGGTGTTTATCAATAGTATATTGCTTTTTATTGCTGAGTAGTATTTTATTTGATCATATTACAGTTTGTTCATTCACTTTTACTGATGGGCATTAAGGTTGTCATTTTTATTACAAATAAAACTATTGTGATATCTGTGTACAATTCTTTGTATAGATGTATGCTTTCATTTCGCTTGAGTAAATACCAACACATAGAAGACTGAGTCAGATGGTGTGTTTAACTGTTTAAGAAATCAGTCTTCCAAAGTGTGTACTGTTTTGCATTTCCAATAGCACTGTATGAGGGGTCCAGTTTTTCTTTGTCCTTATCAGCTCTTGTTATCTAAAGATCTTCTTTGAACATTTTTTAATTTTATTTTTTAAGAAAGTTACTTATTTTTATTGGAAAGTCAGATACAGAGAGAAGGAGAGACAGGAAGATCTTCCATCCACTGATTTACTCCCCAAGTGACCACAATGGCTGGAGCCGAGCCGATCCGAAGCCAGGAGCTTCTTCCAAGTTTCCCATGTGGGTGCAGGGTCGCAAGCCTTGGGCTGTCCTTGACTGCTTTCCTTGGCCGCAAGCAGTGAACTGGATGGGAAGCAGGGCTGCTGGGACAAAAACATGGAATCCCACATGGGATCCTGGCGCTTGCAAGGCAAGGACTTTAGCCACCAGTCCATCACACATTGACCATTTCTTAACAGCACAAACTTATTGAAGATGTTAGTTTTACACTTGTAATGTCTGGGAAAGCCTTTATTTCACATCTACTTTGGAAATGTTTGAGTATACAATTTCAGTTAACAGACTTTCTCGTGTATTAAAACTGTTGTTCCACGTTCTTGTAGCTTGCGGTATTTTTAACAAAAAATCTCCGTGTTTTTGCTTCTTTGGGTATAATTTTTGCTTCCCTTTATCACAATTGCTTATATTTTCTCTAGCACTGGCTTTCAGTAATTTGGTCATGATACGCATTAGCATAATTTTATTTGTGCTTAGAACTCATAGGCTCTAGGTATGTACAATTTTGTTTTTGTTGTTCTTGTTTCAGATTTTTAAAATGGTATACTATTTTTCTTTAAAGAATTTTTCTGCTCTGCAAGGACACATTTATTAAGCTACATATAGCTGTCCCACAGCTCACTGATGGTGTGTGTTCAGTATTCTCATCCTCCTTCCCATTTCATTTTAGTTTCTATGACTGTGTCTTCACATGCATAAAGCCATGTGGGGATTCCACATCTCTCCCTTTGCGTAATTTTCCTACTGAGTCGTTCTTTTCTCCGCTTGACTCCTTTTTCTGTGTGTAGGTCTGTCAGCAGGTCGGATTTCCCAGGTTATTGTTGGAGATGAGCAACGGCAATACCTCTTGGTGATTGGGCGGGATGTAGATGATGTCCAGTTAGCTCAGCGTTTAGCTCAGGCAAATGAGATCGTCCTGTCGTGGAACTGCTGGAAGCTCTGTGAACAGTACATGTTTGAAGTGGAAATCATGAGGGAAGATGAAGCTGTGAAGGTAGGAGGCTGACCCCACCCACTGCACTTCTGGAAAGTGCCTCCTAGTGGCAGTCACATATTGCCTGTTTTGGAAGGTAGGGGATTCTCTAGGAAATGAACTGAATCAAAACAGTGAGATTGGAAAGACAGAGGGTAAACATGAGACTAGTCTCCTTTTCTGTGCCCAGCTTCCTCATCCCCTGTTAAGCGACCAGGTGATCAGGTTGATGGGTGGGCATAGAATTGAGCAGTTTTCTCTTCTGTAGTTAAGAGATTTGCACATCATTGACCGATTTGATTTTGATGAACACTTTGACAAGTGCCTCAATTATCTGCCACACTACCGTACAAGTGCTGGTAAGTTATTTTGAAATTTCTACCTAAGCCCCAGATTTTCAAGATTAATTTTCCACATAGCCAGAGACATTTTGTTTTTCTTTCTTCAGAGACTCTAAGAACTGCCCTGGAATTGGATCCAGACTCCACACTTGAACAAACACTGCGAAAACACATCATGACAAACCTTTTGAAGAAGGTGAAGTCCCAGTTCATGAGTCATGTAGACTATGTGTGAACAGGTGTACATTTATATGTAGATATGTTTTGTATTGATCCAGTTCATCTCTGGCTTCCCATTTGCACCAATATAACTGCTATAATGAATGTGTCATTATCTTTAGATTTATCAGTCCTAGAAAATAAAAGCCAAACTCATTTTTCAGTTATTCTTCCTGGATCTTAATCCACTGTAACAAGGTGTACAGTATGTTCTTGGTAAATATGTACTGATTGTGAATATATGAATATACATAAATCCACTAGTAAAATGACTAAAGGAATTGGATATATATTGTACTGTTACAAATTTTGGCAAAATTTATGAGTGAAATAGGATTAAAGTTATTTTAAATTCTAGATTTACTGGTCTATGCCTCTTGAAAATGACACATAAGTGTTATTATGAAATACACAATTAAAATGCCTTAGCATAATGCTGGGAAGTTGAAGATACTGTCAGAATAATGCATTGTGTCTTTATAGATTGATGAAGGCCAACCAATGGAATATGTATCTGAATTACGTACCGTAACTACAGTTTTGATCAGCGTAGAGTTCCACAAGACAGCGTGGATATTGCATTTGTGTCGTCTTATCCAGGAGGCTGCCTTATATATCTCCACAGTTATTGAGAAAGCAGGTGGCCAGCTGAGCCGCATCTTTATGTTTGAGAAAGTAAGTTCAAAGGGACTTGACCCATCAGTATTAGAGAATGAGTGCAGACTAAATAACAAGTTATGCATGACTAGCTTGTTTCCTGCATAGTACAAGCATAAGTCAGATTTTTAACTTCTTATTTTGTAGCAAACTATACTACATTAAAGCTTCAACTGATAGAGATGGAGTATCTTAGTTCATTTAATTTCCAGGCTTACTTAGGGTTATTTTCTATATCATTTTCTATTCAGTTCTTTTTGGAAAATTCTTGTGAAGGAATAAGGAGTGTTTGGCTCTATTAATAAACTAAATGCAGTCATGCTTTTCTCAGATAATTGAGGCACTAGGGAAAGAGCAACATCGTGATATTTGACAGTGGCAAGTGAAGAAAATGTGAGTAGATAGATTTAGCTAAAGATATATACAAAAAATTTTTGAAAAGTTCTTGATACCAGTTTTTTCTTTAAATGTCATTTCTTTGAATAGTTAGCTAAATTAAGATGTTCTTTTAAATTATTTTTTAATTTCATTTTTCCATGTGTTTTTTCCTTTGAAAAAGAATACACTTCCACTGATTTATATCCCTAATGCTTGGAATAGCTGAGACTAGGTTAGAGCCAGCAGCCAGGAACACTGTCCATTTCTCCCATGTGGGTAGCTTGGGCATAGCAACTTGAGCCATCATCTGATGCCCTCAGGGTGCACATTAGCGGGAAGTTGGACTCAAGAACAGACTGAGATGCAGGTGCCCCGAGTGTCACCTTCACTATGAGGCCAAACACCTCCCCTCCAAAGTTCTTTTTTTTAGTGTTCGCCTTGCTGTACCCCATTTCATGAATCATGTAAAATTCTCTCTTTCCAGCAGCAGACCAGTCAGAATAGAATCTGGCTTCATTCAGGAGAGTTGGTTTAGTTGAGGAAAGCTATGTTCCCTCCCCAAGTAAACTTTTCTTTCTTTGTTATCTCTCTCAGGGCTGCATGTTCCTCTGTGTTTTCGGCCTTCCTGGGCATAAGAATCCAGATGAGTGTGCACAAGCCCTGGACAGCTCCTTCCGCATCTTCAGCTTCTGCTGGGAGAATCTTAATGAGACCAAGTGAGGAGGAAAGTGGGGCAGAATTTGCCTACAGGGGAGAGAAAACTGAGTAGTCAGCAAAGAGGATCTATTAAGCAATCTGGATTAAAAGTGTATCCTGGATAGGGAGGGAAAATAAAGATAGGTGTCATCTAATGGAGCAGGACTGAGGAATACAGCCAAGGAACAGCAGACATGTACATTAATATAACGCAAACAACATACTTGCATGTGGAGAGGCTGCTAGTCCACAAGAGGAAAGAGAGAAGTTGTGGGGTTATGACCAAATTGGAAAGGACCGTAACTGGTTCACTCTCCATCTTTCCCGGAACCTTTGCTTTTTCTGGATTTCACACTGAATCGGTTTTCCATCCATGCTCACCCTTCACCACCGCTGCCTATAAAAACTATTCCTAATAAAGGAATAGGAAATTACATTCTCTCACCAGTTGTGTCATGACAAAGTTGGTTGGAATTTTTCAAATGACTTTTAAATTTGTGTTTATTCATTTTACTTGAAAGGTTGATGATAGGCCCAATGCAATGGCTCAATGGATAAATCCTTTTCTAACACACTGGGATCCCATATGGATGTCAGTTCCTGTCCTGGCTGTTCCACTTCCCTTCCAGCTCCCTGTTTGTGGCTTGGCAAAGCAGTGGAGGATGGCCCAAAGCCTTGGGATCCTGCACCCATGTGGGAGACCCAGAAGAGTTTCCTGGTTCCTGGTTTTGGATCAGCTCAGCTCCAGCCATTGCAGCTACTTGGGGAGTGAACCAGTGGGTAGATCTTTCTATTTCTGTTTCTCTCTGTAAATCTGCCTTTCCAATAAAAATAAATCTTAGAAAGAAAAAGCGGTGGTAGAGGAAGATTTCCTCCCATCTGTGAATCATCCCCACAGACGCTTATAGCAGTTAGGGCAAGACCAAGCTGAAGCCAGGATCTAGGAACTAACCGAAACCCAAACCTCTCATGTCGGTGGCAGGGACCCAGCTACTCTGATCATTACCTCTGTATCCCAAGATGTGCACAAGCAGGAAATAGAGCTAGGAGCAAAACCAAGATTGAACCCAGGCACTTCAATAGGAGATGTGAACATCCGAAACAATATTTTTTAACCAATAGGTCAAACACCTGCCTTGTGTGAGTGTGTATGTATGTTTTTAATGCTGATGGAATTTAAAAATGTTATTCCAGTGTTAACATTGATTCAAACATTAATTTGTTTGCCATCCCTTACTCAACATTGTAAAAATAGTATCCTGCATATACATAGTGCTTTAATATTTGTGGAACATTTTAGAGTATGCTACCAGTAGGAAAGTTTTCATCCCTCTTTTACATATGAGAAAACAAGGGCCACAGAGGAAAAGTTACTGGCAAGTGAATAAACTAGAGCTGGTAATGAAATTCAAATCTTCAGATTTCAAATTTTGGGTTGTGTCATTAACCCGCAGCTACCTCTTAGAAAATGCAGATAGACCTCCCAAAGTATCATGTGTACTTTTAATGTGGAGATATAAAATACACATACTGGAACTTTTTTTAGAGATTGTCTGATGCAACTCTTTACTTTATTAGAGGAAAGATATTATAGTTGCTTAATCGATGGTAAAACTGTTAGTCCAAGGACTATCATATTGACATGTTTTACAGATTTCTAGGATTTGCGTATAGTTCTACAACCTCTCTCACACTCTTTTTAGTTTTTTAGATTTGTCTGGTTTTTTTTTAATTAATTGAAAGGAAGATTTACAAAGAGAAGGGATACAGAGAGAAAGATCTTTCATCCACTGGTTCACTCCCCAAGTGGCTACATTGACTGGAGCTGAGCCAATCTGAAGCCAGGAGCCAGGAGCTTCTTTCGGATTTCCCACGTGATGCAGGGTCCTAAGGCTTTGGACTGTCTTCATCTGCTTTCCCAGGTCACAAGCAGGGAGCTAGAAGGGCAGTGGAGAGGCCGGGACATGAACCAGTGCCCATATGGGATCTTTAGCCACTAAGCTATCATGCTGGGCCCCTCTCCCCCAGTCTTATCTTCAGTATAAATATGATGGGCCAACCCCTCCAGTTAGAGTTGTCCATTCTGCTCTTGAATTTTGCATTTACCTGTGACCCTCAAAGATCCTGCTATTGGCCCTGATTCTTGAATGCAGAAGTCATTTCTTTGGCCTTTAGAGACTATTTTACTATGCCCTTAAAATTACCTTCTGTGACTTCACTGTAATTACTGATCATTTTGATATTACTTACTTTAGAATGCAATCGATGTTAGCAACTATTTGGAATATTTGAGTTCATTAATCTGACTTCCTTAATTTAACAGAACTAAGACCCAGAATTGTAACACTAGTAAACTAAGTAGTGTGATAATGTCAGAGTATGAAAGTGAAATGTCAAGGCCAGTGTTTTTTTCCTCAAAAGTAGTAATTGAATCAGGCTTTCTCCAAGTGTGTTTGTTAGGACACTCATTCCTTACTGTACTCACAAAAATAGGACTGGGACGTGATGCAAACTCTATTTCTTTCCTGGAAGTTCCTGGCATCCATTAACATATCCAAGGTTCTGAGAAGTCATAATGGTAGAGAAATTTATTGCATTTAGTTTTACTTGGCATTTAACAAACTTATGTGATCCCAGTGCTTTTCTCCAGGAATGCCTGTAACATCCAAAGGAACTAATTTTTTGAGGAGCATGTTTGCAAAATGGTGCCTGCGTGACTTCATTGGCACATCGTGTTGTTCATGCTCTCTACTAAACAACAGCAAAAGCAATACCCAAAGCTGCAGTTCACATCCTACCCAGGACCTTATTCATCTTGAACATTTTCTGTTCTGAGAAATATTTTCTTTTTAACCCTTTGGAAGAAACTTGACATCCCTGAGTCTGTCTCTAGGATAATTTTGAGATATAGGGAGTTCAGTGTCATTATCTCAGCTCCTGGTTTTTTAGTAACAGAATGTATATATTACTACATTTATAGAATAATGGATATTTTCATCAGTGGACAAGATTTTTATTTATTTTTTATTTTTTTAAGATTTTTTTTTATTATTTTTTTATTGGAAAGGTGGATATACAGAGAGGAGAGACAGAGAGGAAGATCTTCCGTCCAATGATTCACTCCCCAAGTGAGCGCAACAGCCGATGCTATGCCGATCCAAAGCCAGGATCCTGGAACTTCTTCCGGGTCTCCCACACGGGTGCAGGGTCCCAAAGCTTTGGGCCGTCCTCGACTGCTTTCCCAGGCCACAGGCAGGGAGCTGGATGGGAAGCGGGGCAGCCGGGATTAGAACCGGCGCCCATATGGGCTCCCGGGCGTGCAAGGCGAGGACCTTAACCACTTGTGCCACCACGTCGGGCCCTGGAAAAGATTTTTAAAAGAAAGAGGGAATATAGACTGAATCCCTGCTTCTGCTCAGCCCAGCTCCAGCCATTGTGAATATTGGCCAGCAGATGAGATCTGTCTATCTATAACTCTCAAATAAATGATTTTTCAAAAGTTTGTCTAGTGGTCAGGAGACCTGGAGTCTCATTCTAACTTTACTGTTTGCTTCTGCTATATATTTCTGGGAAAGTTAATTAACTCCTTTAGTTTTTTTCTTTTTCTCAAATGGTATAAAAATATTTGCCTTACTCACCATGTAGATTTGCTCTTGAGTACCTCTTAAAGGATCAGATGAGGTAATAATTTGAACATAAGAAACATCTGATAAGGGCCTGGTGCAGTAGCCTAGTGGTTAAATCTTGCCTTACATCCACCGGGATCTGGTATGGGCGCTGGTTCATGTCCTGGTTGCTCCACTTACTATCCAACTCCCTGTCTGTGGCCTGGGAAAGCAGTTGAGGACGGCCCAAAACCCTGGGACCCTGCACCCACATGGGAGACCCAGAAGAAGCTCCTGGCTCCTGGTTTCAGGTCAGCTTATCTCTGTCTGATGTGGCCACTTGGGGAGTGAACCAGCAAATGGAAAATCTTTCTGTATCTCTTCTCTCTGTATATCTGCCTATTGGATATTGGATAGGCAGATATACAGAGATTTAAAAAACTGACAGAAGATTTCTTTTTTTAGATTTATTTGTTTTATTGGAAAGGCAGATGTACAGAGAGGAGGAGAGACAGAGAGGAAGATTTTCCGCCTGATGATTCACTCCCCAAGTGGCCAGAAAGGCCGGTGCTGTGCCGACCCGAAGACAGGAGCCAGGAACTTCTTTTCCTGTCTCCCACATGGGTGCAGGGTCCCAAGGCTTTAGGCCATCATTGACAGAAGATTTTAAAAATCTTTTCTTAATAATAATATCCCAACTAAAATTCCTGAAGTGGGGTGCCGTTCTGTTCCTTTGTTTTTCTCTAATAGTAAGAACTATATACCAGTCTTGTGCTGTAGAATGACAGCAATCTCTAGCCTTCTCCATTCTGAGCTCCTAAGCCAGATTTCTGGATTTGAGGGTTGGCAGAGATCTAATGCCTGATGCGGAGGCTTCTGACTGTATCTGCCCATTGTTACTTTTCTGTTCCCCAGGCTTGTTTCCATCAGTATCACCAATGGACCAGTATTCTGTGGTGTGGTTGGAGCAGTGGCCAGACATGAATATACAGGTAGAATTGACGTTGGACTTAAGAGATGAAGGTAGAGAAGTAATAATAATAAAAAAAAATCTCACCCTTTTTGTGTTACTATCGCCCTGACACAGTTATTGGCCCAAAGGTGAGCCTTGTGGCTAGGATGGTAACCGCTTACCCAGGGTTGGTGTCCTGTGATGAGGTAACATATCTGAGGTCCATGCTACCTGCTTACAACTTCAAGAAACTCCCAGAGAAAATAATGAAAAATATCTCCAATCCAGGAACGATGTATGAGTATCTTGGCCACAGCAGATGTGTGTAAGTATTGGTTTGTGATGGTTCATTCATTCCTCTTATACAGAAAACATAGGAATGAATTTTTCATTGTGTGAAATTAGAAACATGCTGTTAATTCTGGCCTGCTGGAATAAGACATGTAAGAAGAGAATTGTCTGAGATCCTTAGCTAGTTCCTCAGTCAACTTCTTCCTCTCTGATAGCAAAACAGTAGCAGTAAGTCACCCACCCATTTCCTTTAAATGCTTTGCAATTTATTTCCATGAGCCTGGAAAAAAATAATATTCCCTTTCTCCTTACAGTTTTTACTTTTAAAAAGTTCCTTGTGGTGCAACAGGTCAAACTACTGCTTTGGACTCCCATAATACATTTTGGAGTGCCCAGGTTCAAGATCCACCACTGCTTCTGGTCTACCTTCCTGCTAATGCTCACTCTGGGAGGTAGTAGAAGGGAGGCAGGAGTACTTGGATCCCTGCCTTTCTTATGGGAGACCCTGATTGAGTTCTGAGCCTTAACCTAGCCCAGCCTTGGCTGTTGTGGACATTTGGGGCATAAACCAGCAGATAAAAGATTTGTGTCTGCCTCTCATTTTGCCTTTCAAATAAATAAACATAAGAAATATGCTTTTTTTTAAAAAAAAAAAAGGTGACTTTGAATAAGTGTCTCCTCTTAGAGCTCTCCCAGAGGAAGAGAAAATACCCTTTTATACAGAACTCTGCATTTTCAGTTACCTGAAAATACTTGCTTAGGAGGACAGTTGTTTCCTGAGTCTATTTCTGCTAACCATATTCCAACATCCTTTCTCCCCCAGAATGTTTGGGAAGAGACATTTACCCAGAGAGAGAAATAAAAGTCACCCTTTGCTAGGTGAGTGTTCTTTTTCATATGAATTTATTAATTTATTCTCTTTCAGCAGTGTCAGACTTTGAAGATTAAATTATTATAGATAGTTTTACAACAACTGAAGTATTGTAATTCCCATGTCTAATTGTTTGGATATTATCACACAGGCTCTGGAACAAACTTTGAAGACCTACTTGTGTTTGTTTAGTCTATAATTGGCTTTTTAGAAAGATCTACAAAGCCCCATGGACATGGGATTCTGCCAGACTTTCTGTAGGGGTGAAAGGAAACATTCTGAGAATTAGCTTTGCCAAATTATTTCAGATAAACAGTGTCTGCCAAAAGCATGGGAGCTTTGGGTTCCTCTGGTCTCTTTGCAGATCGAGAGAAAGAACTAGAAGCCTTTAAAGTGGCCCATCAGGGGTGTTTGCACCAGAAGAAGGGACAAGCGGTTCTGTATGAAGGTGGAAAAGGCTGTGGGAAAAGTCAGCTATTGGCTGAAATAAACTTTCTGGCCCAGAAGGAAGGGTACAGGTAAAGACTCCTGCTTTCTGACATTGTCAGAGCCTGCTCTTTGGGGTGTTTCTTTCCCTTGCTGGTGAAATTCTGTGTCAGTAAATTGAGTGCACTCGGACTGGTAGAGGAGCAACCTGTGTGTGGGTGGGGGAACTCCCGGTGACCAAGTGACATTCACCAGGGTGTTGCCATTGAAGCTGAAGGAAGCAGATTCCAAGCAGTACTTCTATGCCATCCAGACCCTCATGGCCATCTTCTTTGAGATCGATACATGCCCAGCCTACTACCGGCAAGAGTGTCTGCACAAACAGCTGCATGGGATAGTGCAGGAGCCACTTCACTGCCTTTTCAACGACCTCTTCTTTGTGAAGGTAATGAAGGTGGTAACAGTTATACTGTAGTGTTGTCTGTCTGAATACTTATAGGCCGTACATGTTTATTTGGGTGTGAAAACAAGCAGATTTACAAAAAGTTTGTGGAAATGTGTATTATGGAAAAACTATTCATGGTTTTCAAATTTTGCCCCAAAATCAACCAACTTATTACTTGTTTTCACAGATTGCGTGTGTGTGCATATGTGTGTTCTAGGAACACATATTTAGTAATGGTAGAATTGAGATTTCAAATCCCTTTGATGCCTAAGCCCAAGATTTCTCATTTTTGAGAAAGTGGAATCTAAGACTGACTTACACTTGGCAGTTCATACTTGCTTGTTTCACAGTTGCTGGTTCTGGTACAGACCTTTTAACTTCAGTTATCTTGAAATGATTACCTCATAATGTTTTTATGTGAATTCTAAAGGAGATATAGTTTATAAGAAAGTGTGTGGTAAGTTTTAAAATACTAAGAATATTGATTCTCACCAGTAATGCATCGTCAGAAATTCTATCCATGTGTTCTAGCATCAGTTGCAGTTTTTCAGTCTTTAGCCCTACCTTCCTATTCCCTAGCCACAGAATTTATTGCTTCAACTGTCATCTGAATCAAAAGCCTGCAAGGTCTAGGGTTTATGGGATCTCACATAGCACACCAGCTAACTGATCCGCAGTTACATTTATGCATCCTTGTATTTTCTCCTTATCTCCCCAGCCTTCAGAGTATTAAATTTAGTGGAAAATAGGAAACACTAACATCTGTCCAATCCCTTAGCATAGCCCTCTCTTAAGATAGGCCTCGGCTTGGGGGCTAACCCTTGCCAACATGTCCAACAGGAACCTTACTTTGGCTGTCAAATCCATGGTAGCTCATGTGCCTTATTCTAGCACAGGAAATAACATTATACAATATCTATTGTATTTCATTCTGACAGGACTCATGTATGCATCCATTCTTGGTATACTTGGCATTATTGGGGTACTAGGGCTTCCCAAAGTGACCTTCCTACACCAAAACTTCATTTACTGCTTCATTACAATTTGATATGGACAGGAGATAAGATTTCTGTCTCTAACTTCCAAGAACTTTGTCCTACCCTCTAAATTACATGGTGAGGTCGGATTGGCCTGTGCAACTATACACAATCATCAGAAAGCCCATTTAGTAGAAATAGAATCATTTTCTGTTCCCTTTGGAGGAACTGAATGTTTTTATTAGGGTGTCTATTGGAATGCTAATATATAATAATTTTCCTGCTCAGTTTCCCATATCCTTCAAAGTTTCGCACATGGATGATTTGGCCAGACAAAAGAAGGTGAAATCATGTTTTATTCAAGTACTTCGGAAGGTGGGTAATTTTCTACATACCATCAACTTCTAATATGTAGGGATGGCTTATACCCATTTTAACTCATTCACATCACATCTTGATTTAGAAATTTCTTCACATATTTGTTGATATTTTCATTATTTGAATCTGCCTTCAATGTTGGATGAATCCAACAGTGTAGCACAGCATGCATGAAAAGGTCTTAGTTCTTTCTTCATCCTGTTCTGTAATGAAATTTTAGTAACGTAATTTAAAACAATGGTTTCTAAGTACGGTCTTATGCTCTAACTCAGGGTTGCAGAATAAAAATCTAACCAGAGATTGATAAACCCATTCTGGAAAGTTGATTAAATGTAACTAGTCAAATTCTGATGAAAACATTTACTAAATGCAGCAGCTCCAGTCCTAGCTATAAGACTACTCCCCGCAGTGTCTGTTCAGGAAAGCCTCTTAAGAATTGGCCTGGACACATGAACGAACATGTAATGTAATGGCAGATGTTAGAAATGAGAGTAAATGAAAACATAGCCATACAGTGTGATCTCAAAGTAGTCCTGAATGAAAGAGAAATAACGAGATCTATAATATAATAGCATTTATATAAGAGCAATTTAATTGGTGAAGCAACAATGCACATTATAATAACTCTACACAAATAAAAAACTGTAAGAAACACATTTGAATGGTCACCTGAGGCAGTGGGAAGGGAAGTAGGAATGGGAAATGTGGAGAAATAGTGAATATATTTTTAAAGTCCACAAAAGTGAGTCCTGATAATTGGTAGTGATGGCAAGCACTCCAGGAGATGTGATGTGCAACCCAGTTTGGAAATTGCTCTTTTAGTGTGTATTGTGAGTTCGCACACAGGGTGAAGCCTTAGCCAAAATGAAATATTGGAATGTTCCAATTTTGAGTTGGAGAATATTTTGATGACTTCTTTAAATTTTCAGTCATTTTATGTTCAAGAAAAACTCAGTATATTTCTTTAGGAATTAGCTTACCAAGGCTGTTGTTTATATTTGTAATGTGAAATAATACCTGGATTTAGGATACATGTTACTCTAAAAATCCCAGCCTATGTTGACATTTTATTAAATTGCTGATGTGAAATGTAAGAGAGGTTTGAAAACCAGGAGACTTCATTTCTAATCAGAGATTATTATTGTTTATTTGCTATTATTTCCAGGCAGTGAGGAAAATGCCACTTCTTTTCCTGATTGACGAGGCCATGTATATAGATGCAGCTTCCTGGGCATTCTTGGGAGCATTGCTCTCCAGGGTGCCCATCCTGATGGTGATGACATTGACCACTACCTACACCCTGTGTGTCGGGGCCCAGAATTTCCTGCAGAGCCCTCAAGCTGCTCTTGTGCCCATTTCGAAGTTGGCGGCAACCTCGCTGTTGAGACTAGCATGTTGGGAACTGGGGGTGGTGAGCATCCCGCAAGAGTTGCAGAGGTGAGTGAGTAGGATGAGCTGGGCAGCTCATTAAGGGCCGAGCCAGTACCGTAATGCTGATAAGTGAGAAGGCTCAGGTCTCGGCAGAGTCTGGGAAGGGAAATGGCGGAGTAACCATGACGAGACTTCAGATCAGCTTTAAGGGAGATAGTCCCCTTGCAGACCAGTAAAGAACTACCTCTGTCGACCATCCACTCAGGCTTCCTAAAGACAGTTAGGCCTTGGATTACTTGTTTAATATGTTGGTTTTATGTATCCAACTCCTAAGCAAGAGGGTGTTAGTTCTTTTTAACAACCATAGAAGAAAAGTTACTTCCAAAATGAATTTCAAAGCCAATTAGAAATCATTATTTTTCTTTACATTTTGTGCTGCTTGCATGTGTTGGTGTGTATCATCCAGAGCTGTGTTCAACAAAAGATCCCTCAGTATGAAGTACCCTTATGCTTGGCTCCCCTGAAATGGGCATTTTTAGTCAGCAATTCCCCGCTTACCTCTCTGCAGCTACCTTCTCCGCAGGTGCTTTAGCAACCCCCTCTATTGTGAGATCTTATGCCAGGACCTTCTCTCTAAGGACATATTGCTCTTTCATGATCTGCAAAAGGAAGAAAAGGAGAACACCAAGTGGGAGACCCTGTCTGGTAAGTTTAACTTTCCAGGTCTTTATGCTGTCCCAGCTGGTCAAGTTCATTTTCCAATATTGCATCAGCTAGCCTTTATGAAGCATATTCCTATTCCCTGCTGACATTTTGGGCATACTAGACAAATTTTTTGCAATGAAGGATAAAAAACTTGACTGTCTACCTCAGATATTTCAGTTTATCAATCTGTAATGATTCATTTTTAGGAAGCCTAGAAGGTGAGGATAGCAAAATAGAATCTTTTTAAAATAAAAAATTTTATTTGGGCCTGGTGCAGTAGCCTAGTGGCTAAAGTCCTTACCTTGCACGTACCGGGATCCCAACTGGGCTCTGATTCTAGTCCTGGCAGTCCTGCTTCCCATCCAACTCTCTGCTTGTGGCCTGGGAAAGCACTCAAGGGAGGTCCAAAGCCCTGGGACCCTGCACCCGTGTAGGAGACCCAGAAGAGGCTCCTGGCTCCTGGCTTCAGGTCAGCTCAGCTCCGGCCATTGCAGTTATTTGGGGAGTGAATCAGCAGACGGAAGATCTTCCTCTCTGTCTATTCTCCTCTCTGTATATCTGACTTTCCAATAAAAATACATCAATCTTTAAAAAAACACATAAATCTTTAAAAAAAAGTATGTATTTTTATTGGAACGTCAGATATTTACACAGAGAGAAGAAGAGACAGAGAGATATTCCATCTGCTAATTCACTCCTCAAATGCTCTAATGATCAGAGTTAAGCTGATCCAAAGCTAGGAGCCAGGAGCTGCTTCCCTGCCTCTCATGTGGGGACAGGACCATGAGCCATCCTCCCCTGCCATTCCAGGAGTCACCAGCAGGACTGAATTGGAATACAAATCAGCACCTCTATGGGATGCTGATGCTTGCAGATGAAGGATTAGCATGTTGAGCCACCACACTGCCCCCACCCAGAGAAAATTATTAAACATAAGTTTTATTAAGTTTATAAGTGGAATGTATAGATATATACACAGAGAATTTAGAGAATTGAATATTATTGAGGTAATGACTTGAGGTTTTGGATGGAGGCATAGAGGGAGGAAGAGGTGGAAGAAAAGGGTAGAGGTGTGTCTAAATCCAGGGAAGTCGTCGCCCTCGAGGTCCAGAAGCAAGGGCTGCTTGTGAGGTGAGTAGGAATAGTGAGCACTGGTGCATGCCGCGTGCATAGAGGGTGTCCTTGGCTGAGGAACAAAGGTGGGAGCAAGAAGGGGAAGAATCAAATATTTTAAACCACGGTATTTTTAGTTTTCTTCATCCTTTAGTTTCTTGACTAAATTTTTGCATTTTGTGCCGTTAAAACTTCTGATCTTTGAACATGGTATTTCCTCATAGTTTTCTTTCTCTACAGCCAAAGCAATGAAATCCACAATGTACAGTATTATTCCTGCCAGCTGTGACGACCAGAAACTGTATGTCTGCACAGTCAAGGATGATGTGAACTTGGATACAGTGCTTCTCCCACTGCTGTTAAAAGGCAAGTCTAGTTTGTAGGCAAACCCTTGAAGTGAACCTGTTATAGTGTCTTTGCAATTGGGAGTTTGGCCGCTGATTGAATATAGGTCTCTAATTATCATGCTAGCTTCATTGTCTTCTCAAAAAAGAAACCTGCCTTTCTGAAATAAGTGCTAGGATTACCTGAAGAGCACTGTGAAGATTGTAATGCAACTTGAGCAGTACTTTATTTAAGTGAGCCCATTTGTTCTCTTTGGGACTGACTGATGATCTAGAAACAAGAAAAATTTTAAAGATTGTTTTATTTAAAAGTCAGAATTTCAGAGAGAGAGAGAGAAACAGGAATCTTCTGTCTGCTACTTTACTTCCTGAATGGCTTCATGAACCAGGGCTAAGTTAGGCTAGGATGAAACAGGAGCCAGGAACTTCTGTGCCTCTTGTGAGGGCAGCAGGGGTCCAGGCCATTTTTGCTGCTTTTCCATGTGCATTAGCAGGGACCTGGGTCAGAAGTAGAGCAGCCAGGACAGGCACTAGTGCCTGTGTGCTATGGCTGCACCACAGACAGCAGCTTACCTGCTGTGCCACAGCACCAGTCTTGACCACGAGATTTTGAGTAAAAGAACAAGTTTTTGAATGATTCCAAGGTTTTGAGCTTGGCTACTTACTGACTTAGTACTAACTAATATTTAGGTCATAGTATTGAGAGATTCACTAGTGCTTAAAGGTAAGTAAGATCTCTATAATTATTTGAGATCTGAAACAGAAAGCCAAGTCTCCAAGTATAGTTGAAAATAAGAAGAGCAGGGCCCAGCAGCGTGGCCTAACGGCTAAAGTCCTCACCTTGAACACACCAGGATCCCATGTGGGCACTGGTTCTAATCCTGGCAGCTCCACTTCCCATCCAGCTCCCTGCTTGTGGCCTGGGAAAGCAGTCGAGGACGGCCCAAAGCTTTGGGACCCTGCACCCACCCGTGTGGGATACCCGGAAGAGGTTCCTTGATCCTGGCTTCAGATCAGCACAGCACTGGCCGTTGCACTCACTTGGGGAGTGAATCATCGGATGGAAGATCTTCCTCTCTGTCTCTCTTCCTCTGTGTATATCTGACTTTCCAATAAAATAAAATAAAATCTTGAAAAAAAAAAGACGAGAACAGTCTGAATAATAGGTCATGAAAAATGGACATATTTTAGCTGTATGATTCAGAGCATGGTTTTGGGTCTTCCACCAAAAGTTTTGGTGTCATTGGGAACAAGAGTTTTAATAATGTAGTAGAAGCCTGATTGTTGTTGATTGAACAATGCATTCAAAGTGGGGACATAGTGATAAGCCTCTCTTAAAGAGAATTGGAGAAGGGAGGAATAGGGCAAGACAGTAGATATAATAGAAAAACAAGGATTTTTCTTTTGAAGATGGACAGATGTGAACATATGAATTCTGAATCTGTAGAAGTCTTACTCACTGCTGCTGTTGCTTCTGATGGTGTTCTTCGTTATTCTCATTGGCAGAAATAGCAGTAAATCAACTGGATCAGCTGAGTTCAGAGGAACAGTTGCTGCTGAAGTGTGCGGCTGTCATTGGTCACTCCTTCCATGTCGATCTGCTGCAGCACCTCTTGCCTGGATGGGATAGAAATAAGCTACTGCAGGTGCTGAGGGCTCTTGTGGATGTACATGTACTCCAGAGCCTTAACAGAAACCAGGAGATCCCTGCTGAGCCCTTATTAGCACATTCATCTGTCAACATCATTGATCAGACCACAGAGGAAAAGCCAGGTGAGGAATAGCTACTCCTTGTTCTGTATGAACTGAGGGTCCAGGTGGAGTGTTCTGTGTTACACAGGTCCACAGTCATATCTTAAAGCTTATGACTAAGAAACAAGAAGAAAATGATTAGTGAAATCATGAAGGAACCATGGTTATAGTGGAAAAAAATACCCTGTCTTTTTCAGAATTATCTAATTTTCAAGAATCCTATCTCCTTTGTAATTTAGCTGTGAGTATTTTGTATTTTGGTTTTAGATTTAAAAAGTATTGCCATACTCTTTTCTTGGTTCTGGGTGCAAACAATAAGACAAAAAGGATAAGCCATTTCCTAATTTTAGAAACTTGCAATGGAGATTAACGTATGTGGTATTGAAAAAGAAATGAACAGGCAAGAGATTAATTAAATAGCTTACAATCTCAGATTTTCCATATGAAACAATAAATTACAGCATAGACTACACAAAGCTTATAGACCCCCACAAATAATTTCCCTTTGACTTTGAAATATTTTTAAGGCCCATATTGGAAAAGAGCATTTCTAGTGAATTGACATTTATAATAATGTGAAATAAACAAGCCCAATTTAGAAGGAACAATCAAAATTTCCCAGTGTATATCTGTACTGCCAATCACTTCTTCTGTGTTGTGCATAGTGGGCATCCTCAATATCTCTACATATAGTCTGTCTCGTTTTGATACAAAAATTATTTTTACAAAGGAGACAGTAGTAACTAAGAATTTTAGGTAAAAATTTCCTATAAGCTATTAGTTGTATACTTAGAATTGTGGCATTTTGTACTATAAAAGGACTTTAAGGAAGACTCTCACATTTCCCCAAAGCCTCTCTTCTCAGACTGCAAGAGCAGCTATTCCTACCACAAGCCGGAATGCTAGAATTTGGAGTGCCTCTCTTACGGGAAGCCGCCTGGGAGCTGTGGCCCAAGGAACAGCAGATAGCTCTGCACCTCGAATGTGCCTACTTTCTCCAGGAGCTGGCCTGCCGCTGTGGGAGCTGCCACGGAGGAGACTTTGTCCCCTTCCATCGTTTTGCAGTCGGTTCGACTAAGAGCTCCAGTAGGACTTCCCGATTCTGTACTTACAAAGATACTGGCTCAGTGTTGACACAAGCAGTCACAGGCAAACTGCAGCCGCCTTTTCCTCAAGGTAAACCCTGGAGGTAGGGAGAGACCATGTGGGCAGAGCACTCCCTTCGCCACATCTCTAATAAAAATTTGTTTGAAAGGCAGAGTTAATTAGAGACAGGGAGAAACAGAGAGTTAAAACTTAACACTGGTTTACTTCCCAAATGACTGCAGTGACTAGGGCTGGGCCAACCAAAAGCAGGAGCTTCATCCCATGTCTGCCGCATCAGTGGCAGATGTTCAAGCACTTGGAGCATTTTACACAAGACTTAGGTCCATTAGCAGGGAACTAGATTAAAAGTGTGCTGGCCAGGACTCAAACTGGTGCCCATATAGGATGACAGCATTGCAAGCAGAGAATTAATGCACTATGCAGCAGCATTATCCCAGCACTGCTATTTAGTCATGTACTTGGAGTTCTTCACCAAACAGTTGAAATCAGATTAATCTCTGATTTATCTCTGAACAACCATAAGTAAGATATAAGTTTAAAGGAAACTTAGAAATTTATTTTGGTTTGCAACCTTGGTCAAGTGACTTAATCTCAGGGAAATAGTAACTCCAACTTCATTAGGGTCATTAATTAGGACTAAATTAGTTAAAATATGTAAAATACTGTGAAAAAATGCCAAGTATATTTTGAGTGTGTAAAATATTTTAGCTATCATATTATTACTATTCAGTTCATTGCACACACTGAGTGCACAATTCTTGCATATATAAGATGATATACTATGTGTTAGGAATACGGTGTGAATAAAACTTCAGTCTCTACCTTCCTGAAGCCATGAGTTTCAGGGAAGGGGTAAAACAAATGAATAAATAGATTAATCCAGTATGGCATGGTAAAGACAGTGAAAATAGCACACAGGAGGCCAGCATTGTGGTGTTGCAGGTAAAGCTGCTATATGTGTGATGCTGGCAGAGCCCTTCTGGGCCCTGCTTCACTTCCTGTCCAGCTCCCTGCTAATGCCCTACAAAGCAACAGAAGATGGCCTGAGTACCTAGACCCTGCCACCACACCTGCATGGGAAACCCAATGAAGTTCCTGTCTCCTGACCTCAGCCTGGCCCAGCTCTGGCTGTTGTGACCATCTGGGGAGTGGACCACAGGATGGAAGTTAATTTAACATTCTCTTTCTCCTTTCTCCCGCCTTCTTCTCTCTAACTCTTTGCAAACCCCTCCCCCTTTTATTTTTATTTTTTTATGGCATACAAAGGATTTTGAATACCTAGGAAAGTGGCCCTTAAGTGAGCCTGAGTTGTTAGAGGAGACTCTTTTTGGAAACATTTCCAGAACTGAGTCTTGAGGCTTAACCAAAGAAGGTTGTGTTAGTGGGTCAGTGTTCACCATAGCCCTTAGCTGCATCCCTGATGAGAGTTCTTTGTTTTAACCTTTTGTGTTAGTTACCCTTTCAGGACAGATGACTTCATTGTCCCCAGTTGTCAGGGATCCTTGGTATTGTAGAGTATGGAGCAGGAGAAGGGAGATAGTAGTTAGTTGCTGGTGCTGGGCTGAAATGACAAATCCGTGTTGTCAGTGATCACAGATTTGTGGAGATAGACCTGTGACAGAGCGATTGCTTTGCCAGGTGAGCGCTTTGGCCATTGTTCTGACGCTGTGAAAAAAATACATTGTCATTCGTGTTTCCTATATGTCCTCTTGCCTTCAAATGGTCAGTTTCAGTTTTGAACAGCCTTGTCGATCTTTTAAGAGAGGTACTATTCCTGTAGCTGAACCCTGAGGAAGCTCTGTACGTGCCCAATTCAGGAGGATGCTGCTCACAGAAACCATGATGTGATGTACTGCATAGTGCTGCCACGCCCGTTACTCTAAGTCACCACCATCAGAGAACCTGTCCTCTTACTTGAATCCAAATTCTTCCTGTGAGAGTTCCGTCAGGCTGCCTGTCAGTCCTGAAGCCCCATGCTCTGAGATCTCATAAATAACATGTTAGCACCTTTGCTGATTTTTGCTGTGTTATTCTTTGGGGAGGCAGATTCAGGCTGCTATTTAAGGCCAACTAGGGAAAGCTGCAAACTTTTTTTTACCTCTATGACTTTTGTGGATTGTGGCATCTTGTTCTATCATGATTTGCTTTACTTGGTTTTCGGTTTTGTTATGACATTGATCTGATCTGGTCATGACATTGATCCAGATAGATTCATGGGTTTTTCCACTACTAAAAGTAGCCATCAGGAACCAGCCTGCTGGCATAGCGGGGTACATTGTTTCAAGTCTTGGCTGTTGCACTTCTGATCCAGCTCCCTGCACCTCCCTGGGAGGGCAGCAGAGGCTGGCCCAACTCCTTGGGCCACTGTACCCATCTGGGAGACCTGGAAGAAGTTCCTAGCTCTCAGCTTCTACCAGCTTCCAGCCATTGTAGCCATTTGAGGTGTGAGCCAGTACATGGAATATCTTTCCTCTCTTTCTCTCCCTTTCTCTGTAATTCTGCCTTTCCAATAAAAAATAAATCAAATTTCCTTTTTTTTTTTTTTTAGCCGGGGCTGGCGCAGTGACTCAAATGGCTGCCAATCCTCCACCTACAGGCATCCCACATGGGTGCCAGTTGGTGTCTCAGCTGCTCCACTTCCCATCCAGCTCCCTGCTTGTGGCCTGGGAAAGCAATAGAGGATGGCCCAAAGCCTTGGGACTCTGCACCCATGTTGGGAGACATGGAAGAAGCTCCTGGCTCCTGGCTTCAGATAGGCTTAGCTCTGGCCTTTGCAGCCATTTGGGGAGTAAACCAGCAGATGGAATATTTTTGTGTCTCTCCTTCTCTCTAATATCTTTGTGTCTTTCCAATTAACAAAATTAATTTAAAAATAGAAAGTTAACTATTTAAAAGAATAGCCATGAAACCAGGATAAGACACATAATTTATTTGATTTTTTCCCCCTTCATTTAATAAACACTGTCTCCGTCAATGTAGGGACTATTTTGAGGAGTTGTTGTTTGCATTGCAGATAATTGTCATTAAGGGATTCACAATTTACAGTCTTGATTTTGTGTTGTAAGCTGCAAAGGAAAGGAAAGTAGTAAATCCAGTCATAGTTAATTGAGAATAATTGTGGTTTGTTTTTTGGTTTTTGTTTTTCTTCCCACAGATAGTTTGCAGTTCCAGGAAAAAGCATTCAGAAATTGGGAGGCCTTGTCATGTGATCCCTGCAGGTAGGTGGAGCTAATGAGGGTAGATTTGGAGAGGGTCTGGGTGAGAGGCAAAAGCCATTACCTGGGCACTCGTGTCACCCATGTCACCCACAGCCAAGGGTGTCTGACCGTGCAGGAGCAGGGACTCTTGTTCTCAGCCCAAGATTTAGGATGACGGAGACAGGAAAGGCAAGTTTCAGTTCTCTATATAGAAACCATTGTGTAGTGGCTGAAAACACTTCAAAGGCCATATACCTGCCACAGATTTTTTTCCTGCTATAAATTTGTCTTGTCAATTATTTTTATCTGGGATGACATTAAAATGAATCTGTTTTTAACCACAGACTTCTCAACTCTCCAATGTCTAGCCCATTGATTTTAAATGACTAGCCCTAGTCCCCACCTTGAGTTTACCAGCCACTGTAGATACAGCTTAATAGACCACTTAGCTAACTCAGCTTTCTGCTGATCTCAAACAAAAATCTCTCTTCCCCGTGGCCCACCCACACTCTCCTGCATGTGTTTGCTGAGTGACCTCGACATACATGCTCCACTCTCCAGAAGGTTCATCCCTCAAGGCCCTGCTCGGTTACCACTTGTGTAGGTCATTGTGACTCAGAGAAATGTTACTGCTTCATATCATCATTTAGCTTCTTTCAACACTTATGTTGTTATTTACTCTTCAGGTAATGTATTTTCCCTCTTTAGATTGTGAGGAACGTAGACTGGCTTTGGGTTTTTTTTAATTCTCTAATAGGGCATTATGGTTACAGTACTAGTTCCTGAGCTGTAAAAAGTTAGAGAGTGATGGAGGAACAGTATAGACTCAGAACTGCATAAGCAAGCTTCCTGAGAAAAGTGGTAATACTCCCACAAAAGTAACAGCTTTGTGGCCACTCTCATTTTTCATCATCTCTCCAAAAAGAACAGAGGAAGACTTCCTGGATCAAGTGAACAGGAAACTGGCCTGGACTAGCCCTGAGGAAAACCTGTTGACCACAAAGCCCTGTCACTGTGAGGAAATCCTGAAGTTGGTTCTCTCACCTCTCACTCAGCACTGCTTGGTCACTGGAGAAACCACATGCGCATTCTATTACCTGCTGGAAGCTGCTGCAGCTGCCTTGGACCTGTCGGATAATTACTTGGTGGGCGAGTTACACCGTCTACAACTTGAGCTGAGCCCTTTTATTTTAAAAATCTGAGATTTGTTTCTGTCAAACTAACCTGAGCGGAAAGGGGAGGAAAGATGAAAAAGAGAGAGGCTGGAAGGGATGTAGGAGAAAACTAACACTGGGGGTGTGGTAGTGAAAGATCACAGGGACAGCACAGTAGCTTGGTCAGCTAGTCCTCCCACTGCAAATGCCAGGATCCCATGGGGACACCAGTTCGTGTCCCGCTCCCTACTTATGTCCTAAGAAAGCAGTGGAGGATGACCCACAGCCTTGAGACCCTGCACTCAAATGGGAGATCTGGAAGAAGCTCCTGCTTCCTGGCTTTAAATCAGGAAGTGAACTCGTGGACAGATCTTTTTATCTGTCTCTCCTTCTCTCTATGAAGCTGTCTTTCCAATAAAAAAGATGAATATATCTTCAAAAAAAAAAAAAACCCCAGGCCGTGTTGGCACTGCCTGACACTTGCACAAGCAGCCAGCTCCTCATTTCCAGCTCAGAATTCAGACAGTCTTAATTCAAATCTTAGCCCTCATCTTAGCCTCACCCTCAGACTCCATTAACCTTCATGTTGTTTCTGCATCCTTCTTCTCTTTGGAGGCCTTCTTTTACTTGAGGAAGGCAGGCAGTCTTCGGGGCCTGCCATCGGCATTCCCCTTCCTGAGAAAGCACACGGTGAAGATCTGTCAGTTTGAGGAGGCCACTTTCTGCTGTCTGCGGTCAGAGGTGAGGGCAGCAGGTAACCTGCAATACAGAGTCTTTTTCCTTGGCCTACTCTGTTATTTCTTTGAAACTGTCTTCATTGTTTTTTTGTGTGTGATTATAAATGTGATGATGTAATGAAAGTTTATAAGATTCAAAATATAAAAATATGTGAAATTCAGAAAGTGGAAGAATCTCCACTAATCCTGTACCTCCACTACCATGTATTCATGTCACATGTATTCCACCTATATACATACAATCATGCCATTGTTTTGCAGTTGATTTTTAGTAGACTCATGTTCTGTGTTCTCTGTCTTCTATAGTTAGCTTTTGTTCTTAGAAGATTTTCATATTTGCATATTGACGTATATATTGACCTGTCAAGTGCTCCATTGTATGGATGGTTATAATTTAACTCGTTTTTTCTTTTGTGCATTTAGATCATCTCTGATTTTAATGTTATAAACATTGTTTCAGTGAATATTTAGTTATTTATTTATACATTTATTGTTCCCCAGATAAGACTATTGATGTAAAATAAATTGCCAGAAGTTGAAATGTAAGGTGGAAGATACAAAATACTTTACACTTTATAAATATATCATCAATTCCCAACAAAAAATACTATGTCAATTCGAATTTTCCCATTTCTTCATATCCTAACATTACAATATCCTGTATTATCAGTCTTAAATTATTCTACTTCAACCAAGAGTTTTTTTTTTTTTAAGATCTATTTGTTTTCATTAGAAAGTCAGATATACAGAGAGGAGAAAAACATAGAGGAAGATCTTCCATCCACTGATTCACTCCCCAAGTGGCTGGAATGGCCAGAACTGAGCCGATCTGAAGCCAGGAGCCCGGAATCTCTTCTGGGTCTCCCATGTGGATGCCAGGTCCCAAGGCTTTGGGCCATCCTTGCCTGCTTTCCCAGGCAGGGAGCTGGATGGGAAGCGGGGCCTCTAGAATTAGAACCAGTGGCCATATATGATCCCAGAGTGTGCGAGATGAGGACTTCAGCTACTGGGCTACCACGCCAGTCCCCAACAAGAGGTTTTTGAAGCAAAGTTATTCTTTTAGAAGTTTATAGTCTTCTTAAAATGTTCCAGAATCACATAGACTTTCTTACCTTCTTGAAGGTTACTCTTAGAATGTGGAAGTATAGAATAACCTCAAGTGGCTTTCCTGCTCCCACTCCCCCATGCACTCTTTGTACCCTCTCCAGGGAAGAGAGAGATGGGATTTGGTGCTACTTCATATGCTTTCCAGTGTGTCTGAGAGCATTTGAATTTCCTCACAAGCATAATCTCATCTTAGTGCGGCAGCATTGCTTTCTAAATTATAGCTGCTCTGTACCTTCCACTAACAAATACATGTGAACAACAACCAAAGGTGCTTTCTCCATAATCCCATGTTCTTACTCTTTGCTTATGGCCTTACTGTGTTTGTTTGTGGGACTGGTGATGAAGCTGTTCTCCACCCCACATGAGCTTAGCACTTCACTAACTCCAGCTGCACACCTCAACACTGGGCCACTGTGCTGTCCCATAGCACCACTACTTCTTCTTTGCCTATCTCCAGGTCTGCTTTAAGATGGGGCAGATCACCTTGGCCAAAAAACTGGCTAGAGAAGCTCTTAGACTGTTGAAAAGATACTTCCCTTGGACCTGGTTTGGTGTCTTTTTCAAGACATTCCTGGAAAAGTATTGGTTTTCCTGTTCTGTGAGCCGACGTCCAGACAACCCTATTGAGAGGTGAGAAGCCTACAGATTATCCTAATTTCTTTTAGAGTCACAGAAAACTAGTTAAATTAGTCTGGAACTTTACTTGTATTAATCTATTACTCTTTTTGTTATTATCAAGTAATTTCAAGTTATATAAGAAAGTATAAGCCAGCATTGTGAAGAGTATTCAAAAAGTTCATGGAAATGCATTATGTGAAACATCCATGTGTAGCTTACAATTTTTTAGCACCAAAATCAACTGTTTTTGCTACTTTTTGACATATGCTTATCCCTCTATTCAGGTAACAGGTGAGCGTAACAGGCCTAGCTCTTCCACCTTTCCCTCCCAGCCAGTTAAATGTAGAAAATAGCAATTCAAAGAATGAGTTTTAAAAAAAAAATCTGAACTTTTACTTGTGAAGAGCTGATGTGTGGTCAGGAGTGTTAGGACTCCAGGTTGCTGGGACACAGAGAGTTAACTTTACACCTGACCCTGAAGATTGTCAAGGTAAAATTTTATTGCCCAAGATTCTGGCCTCCAGCCCCTACAGCCACCTGCCTGTCTACAAGATCCCAAGCTGATAAGGGCATACAGCATAAATTGGTAGCCTATCAAAGGGGCATCCTGCCAGGTCAGGCCCACTTTACCACTGTGGATATGGTGTTTGCATGTATAAATGATGCTTTTCTAGGCCTGGAGTAGAAGGAAGCAGTTACCCATCATCCCAGAACCTGAACTTTCTGTCTTCTTCTCACTGTCCCAAGCATACTCTTCACTGCCCCCTTCCTTTTTCTGATACTCTGTTTTCAGTAAAACTCTCCTGCCTTAACCAGTTGTCTTTTTAACTTATTGGAGTATAAAACCCTGAGAACTTCACAAGAAGCAGTAGGATTCCAGGAACATTTCTGGTTTGAAAGTCTACAGATGGTCCTGTAATGATTAAATTTAGATCTCATGGGGAGGGGAAGTTAGGCATTGGTGGGGAATAAGGGTGTGCCAATCACCTTGTGCTTCACAATAGTAAGAAGAAGTTGGCCATCCTCCAGCAGCAGGTGCACTGCCTCTCCCTACTCCGGCAGCTCTATAGCCTTGAGGCGACAGCCAGCAACCTCAGGTTTGCCTGCCTGGCTGCTCTTATGCAGAAGAATTCAACTGAAGAGTTTGCAAATGAAGCCCAGGTGAGCAGTTCTTACTTTAATTTTGTACCTCCTTCAGAAACCTCAAGTTCTGGGGAGAAAAAATCTTGCCAGTTTCTGGTTTTATTGTGGCTCTCCAATAGCCCACACTTAACAGGACACCTTTGACCTGTATTTGAGTCGGGTTTCTCAATTACAGTTTATAGATGTGTTTCTAGTTATGGGCTTATCTGTGAATTCCCTGAACTGAATATAGAATTGTGTAAGTTGAAAAGTGTCTGGGAGGTAGTAGGAGGAAGGCATAACTTTTATTCCCAAAGAAATTTATTATCAAAAAAAGTATCAGGATTATTGACTTAGGAAAAAAAGAAATATATTTGTCTTTCTCTTTTATTCAGTTGACAGATATTTACATGCCAGGGAAGAAAACATATAATATGTTTAAATGAAGCAACAATGTATAGTATAGTAGACCATAATAAATGCAGTGGGAAAAAAATAGGTAGAATCTGGGAGACAGAGTTCTGGGAGGTTTAGGGGTGTAATTTTAAACATGGTGGCTAGAGAAAGTGTTACTGAGCAGGTAACATTGGTACAAATGGCTGAGAAAAGAATGTTCAGGCAATGAATGCACAAGGCATGTCCTCCATGTCTGAGAAACCGTCAGGGGCCTGTGTGACTGCAGGATTGGGAAGGGAGGGAGGGAGCTGGGAGATGAGGCCAGAAAGACTGGGGTGAAGTGGAATAGGAAATTATACAGACCTTGTTGGCTTTTGTAGGTGGGAAGCCACTGAAGGTTTTGAAGAGAGGGCTGACAGAATCTACTTTTGTTTTATCATGATGGTTCTGGCTTGCATGTTAACAACACGTTGAAAGCAGGGAGACAAGAGGCAATTGCAGTTACTTAGGCAAGGTTGATGGTGGCAGCAGAAGTGGGAAGCATGGTCTTTTGCTGAGATAGAGCCAGCAGGATTTACTCATAGATTAATATTACTAGGATATGAGAGAAAAATAAAAAGTCGAAGATAATCCCAGGATTCATGACCTGAACTTTGGGAGGAAAGCCTTTAATCAGAATGGGAAAATGCAATGGGAGCAGATTTAGCAGGAGATGAGGAGGTAGGCTGTGAGTGAATGTGTTAAGTTTGAGAAGCCTATGAGAAATCTATGAGAAACCAAGTGGAGCTATTTAATTCTAGGGGATCACAAGAGAGGTCTGAGCTAGAAAGAGAAATATGGGGGTTATCAGTGTGTAAAGTCTGTTAGAGCCAGGAAACTCGATGAGAGCATTAAGAGAATGAGCAAAGGAAAGAGGCCTGTTGCTTGAGTTTACAGGTTTAGTGTTAAAAGGTCAGGGTGAGGAGGAGAAAGACAGCCCTGCCCCCCAAAAAATCAGGAGAGCATGGTGTACTGCACACATGAATGAAACAGTGCTTCTGCTTCAAGAAGAAAGCCAGAAACTATATCAAATGTGCACATGTCATAACGGAGAACTGTGGAGTAGTAGGCACTGGTTCATGTCCTGACTGCTCCATTTCCTAGTGCAGCCCCCTGCTTTTGACCTGGGAAAGCAGTATAGTATGACTCAAATGCTTGGGCCCCTATAGCCACATGGGAGACCTGGAAGAAGCAACTGGCTGCTGACTTCAGACCAGCTCAGCTTAACTTTGGCCACTGTGACCATTTGGGGAGTGATCCAGCAGATGGGAAATCTCTCTTGCCTCTCCTCTCTGTGACTCTACCTTTCAAATAAAAATGATGAGATCTAGGTAGCATTTCGTAAGAGGTCAAAAAATCACTCCTTTCTTGAAGAAAAAGTAGTTTGATTGGTATTTTAAAGGGGAAAGTCCTAGATTGAAGTAGAAGAAAATGGGCCTGTAGAGAAAGTGATTTGTGTAAGTGAGGATGATCAAAATAGAAGTGTAAGTGTGGGTGTAAGTGGGTAGGGACACTAGGAGTCTGTATTGAGTGAAGAGCAAGCTGCCATGGTAGGCTCTTAGGAAAGGAACAAAGTGGAAATAGCTTGTGAAGATACAGTGGTAACATTTTAACCTGTCTTTTGTTGCACCACAGGTTGTCTCCAGTTATGTAGACCTCTCTCAGTTCTCCCAGAATGTTGGCGACAGGGACAAGTGGCTGCAGTGTGAGAGGATGGCCATTCAGAAGAGCAGCCTGTGTTGGTTCTCCAGGGAGGG